GGTGGTGTGAGTACAGGGCAAGGTGGTGGGAGTACAGGGCAAGGTGGTGGGAGTACAGAACAAGGTGGTGGGAAAACAGGGCAAGGTGGTGGGAGTACATGGCAAGGGGGTGGGAGAACAGGGCAAGGTGGTGGGAGTACAGGGCAAGGTGGTGGGAGTACAGAACAAGGTGGTGGGAAAACAGGGCAAGGTGGTTGGAGAACAGGGCAAGGTTGTGGGAGTACAGGGCAAGGTGGTAGGAGAACAGGGCAAGGTGGTGGGAGTACAGGGCAAGGCAAGGTGGTTGGAGTACAGGGCAAGGTGGTGGGAGTACAGGGCAAGGTGGTGGGAGTACAGGGCAAGGGTGTGGGAGTACAGAACAAGGTGGTGGGAGAACAGGGCAAGGTTGTGGGAGAACAGGGCAAGGTTGTGGGAGAACAGGGCAAGGTGGTGGGAGTACAGGGCAAGGTGGTGTGAGTACAGGGCAAGGTGGTGGTAGTACAGGGCAAGGTGGTGGGAGAACAGGGCAAGGTGGTGGGAGTACAGGGCAAGGCAAGGTGGTGGGATTACAGGGCAAGGTGGTGGGAGTACAGGGCAAGGTGGTGGGAGTACAGAACAAGGTGGTGGGAAAACAGGGCAAGGTGGTGGGAGTACATGGCAAGGGGGTGGGAGAACAGGGCAAGGTGGTGGGAGTACAGGGCAAGGTGGTGGGAGTACAGAACAAGGTGGTGGGAAAACAGGGCAAGGTGGTTGGAGAACAGGGCAAGGTTGTGGGAGTACAGGGCAAGGTGGTAGGAGAACAGGGCAAGGTGGTGGGAGTACAGGGCAAGGCAAGGTGGTTGGAGTACAGGGCAAGGTGGTGGGAGTACAGGGCAAGGGTGTGGGAGTACAGAACAAGGTGGTGGGAGAACAGGGCAAGGTTGTGGGAGAACAGGGCAAGGTTGTGGGAGAACAGGGCAAGGTGGTGTGAGTACAGGGCAAGGTGGTGTGAGTACAGGGCAAGGTGGTGGTAGTACAGGGCAAGGTGGTGGGAGAACAGGGCAAGGTGGTGGGAGTACAGGGCAAGGCAAGGTGGTGGGAGTACAGGGCAAGGTGGTGGCAGTACAGGGCAAGGTTGTGTGAGTACAGGGCAAGGTGGTAGGAGAACAGGGCAAGGTGGTGGGAGTACAGGGCAAGGCAAGGTGGTGGGAGTACAGGGCAAGGTGGTAGGAGTACAGGGCAAGGTGGTGTGAGTACAGGGCAAGGTGGTGGGAGTACAGAACAAGGTGGTGGGAGAACAGGGCAAGGTGGTGTGAGTACAGGGCAAGGTGGTGGCAGTACAGGGCAAGGTGGTGGCAGTACAGGGCAAGGTGGTGGCAGTACAGGGCAAGGTGGTGGGAGTACAGGGCAAGGTTGTAGGAGTACAGGGCAAGGTGGTGTGAGTACAGAACAAGGTGGTGGGAGTACAGAACAAGGTGGTGGGAGAACAGGGCAAGGTGGTGGCAGTACAGGGCAAGGTGGTGGCAGTACAGGGCAAGGTTGTGTGAGTACAGGGCAAGGTGGTAGGAGAACAGGGCAAGGTGGTGGGAGTACAGGGCAAGGCAAGGTGGTGGGAGTACAGGGCAAGGTGGTAGGAGTACAGGGCAAGGTGGTGTGAGTACAGGGCAAGGTGGTGTGAGTACAGGGCAAGGTGGTTGGAGTACAGAACAAGGTGGTGGGAGAACAGGGCAAGGTTGTGGGAGTACAGGGCAAGGTGGTGGGAGAACAGGGCAAGGTGGTGGGAGTACAGGGCAAGGTGGTGGGAGTACAGGGCAAGGTGGTGGGAGTACAGGGCAAGGCAAGGTGGTGGGAGTTCAGGGCAAGGTGGTAGGTGTTCAGGGCAAGGTTGTGTGAGTACAGGGCAAGGTGGTAGGAGAACAGGGCAAGGTGGTGGGAGTACAGGGCAAGGGAGTGTAATATACATGATTTTACTGATTAATATTTTATTAATTAATATTAGAAAACAACTAAAACATAGTTCTGTGATTGTGCTCGTGATTAACTGAAAGTCATGACACACCAGAACATTGATACACAGCAAAGCATGCCGACACAGAAGAACATCAACCCCCAATTTGAAGACAACAGGAGCCAGCAAGAGTCTCTCCTCTGTGGTGTCTCATTACACCTGCATTTCTCCCAGTACAGGACAGCTGGTACACATGGAGGTGGGGTGAATCTGAGGTGACCAGCACACACCATCTTATACAGGCTGAACCATCACTTACATTCCATTGTTCTTTCAAGGGGCGGTCGTCGGGTAGCCTAGTGGTTAAAGCGGTCGCTCGTTATGCCGAAGACCTGGGTTCAATTCCCGACATGGGTACAATGTGTGAAACCCATTTCTGGTGTCCTCCCCCCCAACCATGATATTGATGGAATATTGCTAAAAACGGCGTAAAACCATACTCACTCACTCATTGTTCTTTCCTTTGTAACCTCAGAAATACATTCCAATGTGCAGAAAACTAGAGTACACCCTGACCATATTATATCACTGAATGATATATATATAAATAAAATTTTGAGCTTTTGAATTATTACATGATTAGATATCTTTTTCACTACGCATAAAATATATCATTCCTGTTTGTTAAAGAAATTGAATACACCTTGTGTTTATGACATGAAATCTTTGAAAAATAGAAAAAAAACTTCTTTTTTTAATAAATAACTTGAACCATTGTTCCCAGATGGAAAATCAAATTCCAATCTTGTGCTTACATCTATTAGCCCATGCATTACAGTGCTGATATAACCTTGTTGCCTTATGTAACATTACACTGACCAGTTTTCAATGCCTTTGTACAATGACAACATGTGACTATCTATGATATTAAATTAAATATATCGACTTTATTACGTACAAAAAAATTACTAAAAGTCTAACTGTTCGTTTCTTTTTTGAAGAGTGTACGTCATGATGATTCCCACCATCTTCTACTTTTTTGGCATAGAAATAATATGTTTCAACACATAACAATTGTACAATATAATTCCTCTTAAAGGTCACAACACTGTTCGCATAGATAAATAAACACACATCCCATGAAAAAAAATATGTTATAGTTTCTCTTTTGAACAAATACACGTGCCAAAAAAGAATTTTAAAAAAACTTGTTTGGATATTGTTCCTGATCCGATATCTGAGAGTATTTTTCGAATCAAAAAGAGTGCAAGGAGATGAAACTTTTGTGCAGACAATCACCTTGTTGTATTCTGACAAAAGCAGATCTAGACCAAAACATATAAGTAAGTTTCTTGTGATACTGTTCTTAACCCTGTGTTGGGCTTGTGATGAGAGGTATTTCCCTGGGTTGTCCTATTTCTGTCCTTACACCAAAGTCAGTCTACACTAGATTCTACACATGGACTCCTGTGAAACAGTAGCTGTCTTGGCTGTCCCATAGACATGACATTTAGCTGATAACCAACTCATATCATGTCAACTTTAATTGACCTGCTTTTTCAGAAAACAGCTTTAGTCAAAAGCTAGAAATTGAAATTGAAATTTTTTAAAATTAACAAGGACAAAAATTACACTTGCTCTTGATGAATCTGGAAAGCATCAATCATGTCAACAATGTGAGTAGGACCTACAACGCAAGGTAACTGTATCACTTTCCACTAGGAAAGATCAGACGAGTTAACTGTCCAACAACATTTCAAACTGCAGTGTGCACAATTTCCTGCACACACATAACCACTTAAGCTTCCATACATTCTCTCAAGGACATGACCATGAAGCAATGTCAGGTCATTGGTGTCTCAAGGTCAAGGTCACATTGTCTCCAGATGGTGAAAAAGCAATCTGCATTGAAGAGTCCACATGCCTAGCACTGCAGATTGATGGGCAGAAACACAGAGAGAAGATTGGAAACTCATCAACTGCTCTGAAGCTGTAAACCAATTATCTGTCCCAGGGAAATGGGCCATGGGTATGAGCATGATATATACCTCACTCAGCCTGTCAAGTCAAAACTAAACAGACATACGAGGCAGTGGAGTTTGAAGGCAATATTTCCTTCACAGTTTATGAAGTGGCAGAAGTGTCTCTATCCTTGAGATACAAACACAAAGACAAGAGAACAGTTTCAGCAATACCTGCCATTGTATCCCTGCAAGGATCGACTGATGTCCAAATATTGACTTACTCCAAATGTGTTACTTATCAAGTAAAAGCATGTCAAAAAAGCTCCAAACACAAACTTGAATGTACTTGAATAGATGAAGACTATTTTCACCATAAAAAGGATGAGGTGTGATAAATCCACTAGAAAAGCACATTTTCAAATACAAGGAAAGATAGAAATCATTATGAAAATTATATTAATGAGAAATAGATTTTTATCTTTCCAATCCTGGCATTTTGTTTCACTCAAAACAACTCCATATGAAAAGAAAAGAATCAATAGCCTTATATTAGAGGTTTCAGGTGGTTCTTTTATAATATTTGAACATCAACAAGTCTTTGACTCCAGATAATTGTGATGATAACACACTGGCTCGCAGCTAAATTTTCTCCAGAACTCTTACCCACTTCTGTACATGATCAAGTAACAAGTCATAACTTGCAAGTGCAAGAAAGAAAAAGGATTAGGAGCTAATCATATAAACATGTCTGAAAACTTTCTCAGCAATGTTGTAAACACAGATGTAATGTTTTCCATATCATTCCTTTTCCCTTCCAAACTGAGGATTTAAGTTTTAAGTTTTCATTTTGCTTTCATGTTGATGTGACTAAGACTCTTGTAACGCCCATATTAGACTTACATCTAGTCTCTGAAATGAACATATTCTTAAAAAAAGCAACAGTAAAGATATAGTTATAAATTATTATCAATAAGAGCCAGGAGCCTTTCTTCATTTTCAGATACTGCAGTAAGCTAGACTTGCCAAATATTCTAGACTTGCACAGGCTTTATTGGATACATTTGTTTCAGGGTCTGTATGACAGATTACTCCCATATTTTAACATCACATCTATATGATCTAGTTCCTACCTCAACCAGGCTCTTGAAGACATAGGTGGCCGTATCGGTCGGCGTGTCAGGCTTCTTGCGTTTTGTTAAGATGAGTTTGTCATTAAACAGAAACAGGTGGCGTTCTTTGCCACGTCCTGAGTTTGCATTTGGGCTATCCCACATCAAGAAATCATCCTGAAAACACAAGATCACATAACATATATACACTGAAAAATACAGATCTCACACATTTTGTAGATAGCATTGCAGTAAAATCTTAAAAAACACACCATAAACAAAGATAAGGAATCCGGATTAAAGGAAATTTGGATTATCACTTGTCAATAAACTTAAAACAACTTTTGTCACTATCATCTTGTTCATGGGGAAACAGGGGGCCCAGTGGTCAGCCTCACAGCTGCTGACAGCTTGTGTCAGTGCTCACACTGGTTTTCCTGGTCCAAGTCAGATAACATTCTCCTACACTCACTCACCAAATAAATATATAATATTCAAAAGTTACTGACATGTCTGAGTAGTGGTCCACATTCGTTGATGTCGCCGGAGAATCCCTCAACAAGGCTCAGCATCTGGATCTGCTGGACCATGTTAGTAATCTCATTCAGCATCGCAATGGCTGCCTCCGCGTCAGCACAGTCCTGCCCCGCTCGCGAGGTGTACCTCAGGTAGTCCTGGACAGAGATGGCTCATTTGTCTACATTTCCATAGTAACAAATTCCATGATTGACAATTTAGATTTAGTGTAATTTATTTGAAGCACTCATAAAATATCCTATCCTCAACAGTATTCTGATGTCTTACCTGTCCAGTCTTGCAACATACACATACAACATGACAAGGATTCTACCCAGGAAGGCAATATCCAGGACACTCCCAAGGAACACACTAGGACAATACAAAGGACAACAACTAGGAAACTGTCCAAGACAATATCCACTCCCAAGGAACACACAAGGACAATACATAGAGCAACAACTAGGAAACTGTCAAAGGCAATATCCAGGACACTCCCAAGGAACACACAAGGACATTACATAGGGCAACAACTAGGAAACTGTCAAAGGCAATATCCAGGACACTCACAAGGAACACACAAGGACAATACAAAGGACAACAAATAGGAAACTGTCCAAGACAATATCCACTCCCAAGGAACACACAAGGACAATACATAGAGCAACAACTAGGAAACTGTCAAAGGCAATATCCAGGACACTCCCAAGGAACACACAAGGACATTACATAGGGCAACAACTAGGAAACTGTCAAAGGCAATATCCAGGACACTCCCAAGGAACACACAAGGACATTACATAGAGCAACAACTAGGAGACTGTCAAAGGCAATATCCAGGACACTCCCAAGGAACACACAAGGACATTACATAGGGCAACAACTAGGAAACTGTCAAAGGCAATATCCGGGACACTCCCAAGGAACACACAAGGACATTACATAGGGCAACAACTAGGAAACTGTCAAAGGCAATATCCAGGACACTCCCAAGGAACACACAAGGACATTACAAAGAGCAACAACTAGGAGACTGTCAAAGGCAATATCCAGGACACTCACAAGGAACACACAAGGACAATACAAAGGACAACAACTAGGAAACTGTCCAAGACAATATCCAGGACACTCCCAAGGAACACACAAGGACATTACAAAGAGCAACAACTAGGAGACTGTCAAAGGCAATATCCAGGACACTCACAAGGAACACACAAGGACAATACAAAGGACAACAACTAGGAAACTGTCAAAGGCAATATCCAGGACACTCCCAAGGAACACACAAGGACATTACATAGGGCAACAACTAGGAAACTGTCAAAGGCAATATCCAGGACACTCCCAAGGAACACACAAGGACAATACAAAGGACAACAACTAGGAAACTGTCAAAGGCAATATCCAGGACTCTCCCAAGGAACACACAAGGACAATACAAAGGACAACAACTAGGAAACTGTCAAAGGCAATATCCAGGACTCTCCCAAGGAACACACAAGGACAATACAAAGGACAACAACTAGGAAACTGTTAAAGGCAATATCCAGGACACTCCCAAGGATTCCACCCAGGATATTCGAGGATGACAATTATTAAGGATGACAATTAGGAAACTGCCTAGGACACTTTCCAGGACACTTTCTAGTATAGTCCTAAGGTTAGATTTTATGACACTAGACATTCTAGACTATGGCCACACCTATCAGGCCATGAATGATGATGCAGACAGTACACTGACCTGGAGGAATGACTTGTAGGCAGCCAGCCTCTCCACCGGCTTCATCAGGTGTGCCTTCAGTGCTGTCTCCGTGTCCTTGATGCTTGCACTGTATTTCTGAGGAGGAAAATATCACCAGCATGTAGACAGGTATCTAACACAACAGTTTACTCAAAACTTCACTCAGAGACAGAGCTCAAGAGGACAACATTCATTACCATTTAGGCAAAGCATAAGTCCTCCAAAAGCTTGATATCAAAATTATTTGTTTCATTTTTTCTGTGTTTCTTTTTGTCTTTTGAAATTATATCCTCATTATACAAGACTTAATGTAACACATATTCTTTGTGTCATTTTTAGAAACCTAGATGTTTGCTCCATTAGATAATTAATTATGTCCCTGGAAATAACTAATAACATGGCACAAACCTTCAAGAAGAGACAAGCTTCCTCTGTTTCCAGAAAGTATTCAGCAGTCTCCCTCGGACACAGGTACTCAACATACTGCATAAACTCATCACGCTGAAACCAGGAAAACACAAAAATAATGTGTTATGCTATTGCTTTACAATGTCCTACTTTATACAAACTTAAATGATATTTTGTATTTCAAATTCAAATTATTATTGAGAATCAACATCATTAAGAACAAATTATGTGTTTTCAATGATTAGGCTCTTGTTACCTTTTTCAAGAAAACTGCTCCAACATTAGATGGTATAGCAGCGCATGCACAGAGGTCCTGCAGGAACACCCTGAAAACAAGGTTCATATGGTAGTTACTGATGCAAACAGACATAAAATATTCACAGCTATATGAGTGAGTGAGTTTGTTTTAATGTTGTTTTCAACAGAAGCTCAGATGTATCAGAGTTTGTTGAGCCAAAAGGAAAACCCAAAGAGAGGTTGGTCTACTACTTCCGTGAATACCAAGAGTGAGTGAGGGATTGAGTTTGGTCTTACATAACTTTAGTATTCTCAGTTATCTCACACTTGACCGTATGTTAGCTTGATGTGGGAGGAAAGACCAACAGTAAGCAAGTCTTAGAGACGTGTACCACACTGGTGAAACCCATGAGCACAGGGACTGTGTCACAAACCAAGGATCATAAACAGGTGAGGTGAGGTGAAATGGAGTTTAATGTCACGTCAAAGATTGTTGCACTTATATTGAGACGTGCATGCACATAAACAGGGCCAATCAGGGATTCAAACCCATAACCATAGAATCCTGGCATGACTAAGGCAAGAAACTCTGCACAGTGACTAGCAGCATTTTAAAAGACGGGATAAACCATGCCTTTCAGCTCCAGAAGATAAAATTAATCCAAATATCTTCTCAGGAAACAATAACAATTTGCCCATCTATATTTACTAAGTCTGTATATTGTCTGAGGTGTTCAGTTTACAAAGAGATTTTTTGCAAACTATGTTGCTTTCACTTTGGTAGATAGTTCACTGAGCTCAACCGGCCACAACTGCTTACCAATACGTTATCACTGTATGCAGTGTATCAGTATACATTACATGTTATGCCATTTCCATCAGTTTGTGCAATAAGGGAGACAATTCTATCTGAATTATGAGTACATGTATGTAGGTAGAGTGGATGTCCATTTTCATGCATGAAAATCTGTTATAAACAAACACCAAATATGTACAAAGGACGATCGAGGGCCGATTTTTTTGTGTCACTGGAAATGTTAATTTTTATGTTTATGGAAAATATTTGTCTAAATACTGTTCAAGTGATTGACACCTAGCCCTTTTTCTTTTATTCATTTGCATGTTGTCTTCTTCAAGTACATAAGAATTGATAAAATCAATGAAAAGATTTTTTCCAACTTCAAGAAAAAATCTATCAGCAGTTCCATGACCCAAGATGAATTCTTAAACAAATGTTTGTCTACATCTCTAGATCATCTCTAAATCTGCTTGGGTGAAACATTTGCTCATGTCTAAATATTAGAGAAACGTATCATTAATACACTAAAATCTGCCAATTTGAAAAATTACCTATACATTTAGTGTTGTTTTAATTCCAAACATTCAAGTGCTTAAATGAACATAGTGTAGTTCTCTTTCATATGAACACATCTGACAACTTTTCTAATAATTTCTAATGTTTTTTCTAATTTCTTGAATCATGGAGATCCAGTGTGCAAAAGGATCCTTATCATATCTGGTCCTTTGATTTGTTTTTTATGTCAAGTACATAATTCTAATTCATAACATTTCTACTTACTCATCATGAAACTTATGGATCTGTTTAACATTAGCAAAGATGACATCCTTCTTGTTCTTGAGGACTTCTGGGGTGTCCTTCTCCCCAAGCCTCTGACAGTAGTCCGTGATGAGGTGATCCAGGTGCCGGATGTACTCTCGTTCCGTTTCCAGGAGTTCCGTCACAGCATACCTGCAACCCATATGAGACCATGTTCTAGAGCTTCATGCATCAGCAAAGGCATATGACAAATCAACATCAGTAAGTGACATTGTGCTCTAATCAGTCAGTTTATTACCCATGGAGTCAGAAATAACTAATTTCATAAAAATTGTATGTGCACTAGTGCAAATACCACTTCACGCTCACCAATGTATTGCTGGAACATGCACATTGTTGATGTCATTCAAATGTTATTGTGATATAAGGTAGTAATGATGTCACACTAGAAACATCATAGCTGAAAACATTTGCTGTCATTCCACAATTGTGGTTTTCTAAGACAGTGGTCATGATCAGTGCACTTTCCTAAAGGGGAGCTCAATAGAATTAAGACACGATGTGTAATTACGAAATTACTACACTTGCATGTGTGTGAGAGTGATTTTACAAAACTCGTGTAAGTATTCATGTATTACCCTCACACCCTTTTGAGAAATGCAAGAACTCTGACACTTTTTTCATAAAAGGAGTATGATGACGCACATGGTCGTATAATAATCTCTATTTATTACCCATAGGGTTAGAAATAACCGAGATCATATAAATTGTATGTGCTCTTGTGCAAATATCACTTCACACCAGTGTAATGCTTACATCATCTGGGTGGCATTGTTGATGTCATTTGAATCTTAATGAGACATAAGTGATGCAAGTCTTTGATGTTTACCACTTTCATGAAACCCACGAGCACAAACCTTGTTGAAAACCTAGAATCTTAATCATGATTTATCCAGGCACCCATCCAAACCCACAAGCTAGGAGATGCACTGACCATGTTAGCAACATCTTTTGGAATCGCTTGAGAGGACAGTTATAAATGTCAGCAAGGATTTGGCCATGATATAAGTGAGTTGGACCAATCATGTCTGCAGGATGTAATGATATAATAGGTTATAAATGTCAGCAAGGATTTGTCCATGATATAAGTGAGTTGGACCAACCATGTCAGCAGGATGTGATGATATAAGAAGTTATACATGTCTGCAAGGATTTGTCCATGATATAAGTGAGTTGGACCAACCATGTCTGCAGGATGTGATGATATAAGAAGTTATACATGTCAGCAAGGATTTGGCCATGATATAATTGAGTTGGACCAATCATGTCAGCAGGATGTGATGATATAAGAAGTTATACATGTTAGCAAGGATTTGGCCATGATATAAGTGAGTTGGACTAACCATGTCAGCAGGATGTGATGATTTAAGAAGTTATACATGTCAGCAAGGATTTGGCCATGATATCAGTGAGTTGGACCAATCATGTCAGCAGGATGTAATGATATAATAGGTTATAAATGGCAACAAGGATTTGGCCATGATATAAGTAAGTTGGACCAACCATGTCAGCAGGATGTGATGATGTAAGAAGTTATAAATGTCAGCAAGGATTTGGCCATGATATCAGTGAGTTGGACCAACCATGTCAGCAGGATGTGATGATTTAAGAAGTTATACATGTCAGCAAGGATTTGGCCATGATATCAGTGAGTTGGACCAATCATGTCAGCAGGATGTAATGATATAATAGGTTATAAATGGCAACAAGGATTTGGCCATGATATAAGTAAGTTGGACCAACCATGTCAGCAGGATGTGATGATGTAAGAAGTTATTAATGTCAGCAAGGATTTGGCCATGATATCAGTGAGTTGGACCAACCATGTCAGCAGGATGTGATGATGTAAGAAGTTATACATGTCAGCAATATAGCGTGAAGGTATGTGACAGACTGGGCTACTGTCTATGCTAACAATTAGATTTCTGGTTGGCTGCCACTGGACGACAATTAGGCGTTAAATTACAGATTGCAGTTTGTTTATGAAACTTAAATTGCTCTAGCAACAAGTCATGTAAGCAGAGGCGTTTGTCACAATTACTCAGATTTTGTCTGGGGACTTTCGAGGTTTAACATCTTTGTATTCTGTAATATAGATGTCATGTGGATGCAGATGCATGATTGGCCTAGTGCCAAGCTTGCTGCGCAGCCCAGCAGTCGAACCAGTTAAATACGAGAAGTCAGCAGGAATATATGAAATTAGTCCTGTAATAAATACAAACTAAACAATGACTAGCTGTTGCAATAATTTCTTCAAATGTAACTCTAACTGTTTGTGACAAAAACTTAAATTAACTTTTGCACACCAAACTGAAAAAAGTAAAGTTCAAAACAAGGCAGTTGTCAAACAAATCTACCCATACCCATGCTAATGTAAAGTAAATGAGAAAAGAATACATTTCAAGTCATATCTAGCATATTAATGCTAAAAGGTGGCCTAATAGAAGATTATGAACAAATAACTTCTACTCAGTTTTAAACAGAAGAAGAAATCAAGCAAAATAATGTCCAAATATTATGAAAATTCAAACAAAATGACATTTAGAACAGCATTTTCAGTTGTTTAAACCAATCATCAGATATCAAGATTGAATGTTATAATTTTCAACAATTTGGACACTTATTGAAAGAAATATAAGACAACAATATTCTGAAATGTTATAACCAAATGATTGTTATCCCAACAATCTAAGTCTCTCTATAAAGAAGAGCAAGCCAAGGGCAGATAACTGCTACTCACAATGGAAAGTCATCAGGATCCCTATAATCACAATAAAGAAGGTCACAGCAAGACTCCACAATCTACATGTCTACAAAGCTGAGGCAATGTACATCAGTCTCATTAAAATCAGATCTTTTGCTCTGATGGGATACCTCTCTGCTTGAAGACCCAACACCCCTTCCATGGGTCATATCAGGTGCACTTTCTGATTAGCCAATCAATGTCAAGGCTTCTAAATAATCAGTATGAATGGCTTAAGCATTCAGACCAGTACGTCTCATTTCTGTATCTCGAAAAAGAACTAAAATAACCAGTTCTGAATGTAAATAATAAAGTCACACCATTATATAGTTGTGGATATTATGTATGCCATGTCATTAATGAGCACCATGATGTCTGCTACCAGAAGAGAAATACCATCGAAAGAATATTCACATTTTGTATCAGCTTTTTTTATTAAAATCAAACTTTCCAACTAGAGATGATAAAGAAATGAACCTGATAAAGAAAGCTAACATCTGATTGGTTCAAGAACCCACACATCATCCATTTTGAATTAGTGATCAAAGTTCATTCTGGTTTCATCTGCTGCAAACTTCTTGTCAGACATTCACACAGTGAGATATCAAAACAGAGTAAAATATCAGTTTTAGATGAGATTGCAGTGTACATCACAATCATCATGACTGCCAAGTGTAGATACAGGAACTGAAAACTTAATGCCATCTCTATATATCCATCTAAACATTACGCTATCTTGAAATATTATTCTGTGTAACTGTTGGTTATCATATAGGGGAAAAGGACCAGAGAAACACAGAGACGTGTTGCTAGAAACAGGTTTACGGGGACTTGCATGAATTCTACATAATTTTTCTATGTACAATTTGGCATGGTACAAATATTTGTGTAATTTCCATGACAAACTGGGGGAATATTTGGATCAGGAAAAAATATGGACAAGTACTTAGGGCAGGTAAAAAAATGTTGTAATCCTTTCTGTATATTCATGAATGAATTATTTCTTTTTATGAAGCTCTAGTTCTCACAATGACATGAAACTCTAAATAGTACGAGTGTTACCAATTAACAAAATAGTAGTTGATATCAGTTATTAGCAACAAGTGGTTATTTCATAAATTGTAAATAAGAGAACAAAAAATAAAGACCATACAATTTAAAGTATTATTAATTTTCAAATTCCTGATAAAGGGATATATACATGTACATCAAGACTGGCATTAAACTCAAACAAACAAATTATATAGATGTGCTCAAAGAGTTACCTCCTCTTGAGGAGAGACTCCTGCTGTTTGTTTGAGATCTGAATGATCTCCTCACGAAACTGTTCTGTTGTGGACCTCTTGGTTACTGTGCTGCCCAGCATTTTCAGGTTCAAATATGCAGATGGTACCCATCCTGAAGCAAATCATTTATAGATTAAACTTAAGTGAATATTTCATGGTCTTGAAAGGGAAGGAACATTGGCAGAACTTAAGCAGGGTATTGAACGATACAGTTTTGGAAAGGACCATAAAAACAACAACAGGTTTTTGTAATACTAAAACGGCTTGGTGGGTTTCTTTAACAAAATATCCAAACTTCTTTGGCAAAAATGGTCTTGGTGGGTCTTAAACAATATCTCACCTTCTTCGGCAGGACTGTCTTAAAGGGTTCGGTATTGGTGAGTTCAGTCTTAAACAATGTCTCACCTTCTTTGTCTTAGAGGGTTTGCTATTGTTGAGTTTAATCTTAACCAATGTCTCACCTTCTTTGCCAGGACTGTCTTAAAGGATTCAGTATGGGTGAGTTTAGTCTTAACCGATGTCTCACCTTCTTTGTCAGGACTGTCTTAAAGGGTTCAGTATGGGTGAGTTTAGTCTTAACCGATGTCTCACCTTCTTTGCCAGGACTGTCTTAAAGGATTCAGTATGGGTGAGTTTAGTCTTAACCAATGTCTCACCTTCTTTGCCAGGACTGTCTTAAAGGGTTCAGTATGGGTGAGTTTAGTCTTAACCGATGTCTCACCTTCTTTGTCAGGACTGTCTTAAAGGGTTCAGTATGGGTGAGTTTAGTCTTAACCGATGTCTCACCTTCTTTGGCAGGACTGTCTTAAAGGGTTCAGTATGGGTGAGTTTAGTCTTAACCAATGTCTCACCTTCTTTGGCAGGACTGTCTTAAAGGGTTCGGTATTGGTGAGTTTAGTCTTAACCGATGTCTCACCTTCTTTGTCAGGACTGTCTTAAAGGGTTCAGTATGGGTGAGTTTAGTCTTAACCGATGTCTCACCTTCTTTGGCAGGACTGTCTTAAAGGGTTCAGTATGGGTGAGTTTAGTCTTAACCGATGTCTCACCTTCTTTGGCAGGACTGTCTTAAAGGGTTCAGTATGGGTGAGTTTAGTCTTAACCGATGTCTCACCTTCTTTGTCAGGACTGTCTTAAAGGGTTCAGTATGGGTAAGTTTAGTCTTAACCGATGTCTCACCTTCTTTGTCAGGACTGTCTTAAAGGGTTCAGTATGGGTGAGTTTAGTCTTAACCGATGTCTCACCTTCTTTGGCAGGACTGTCTTAAAGGGTTCGGTATTGGTGAGTTTAGTCTTAACCGATGTCTCACCTTCTTTGTCAGGACTGTCTTAAAGGGTTCAGTATGGGTGAGTTTAGTCTTAACCGATGTCTCACCTTCTTTGGCAGGACTGTCTTAAAGGGTTCAGTATGGGTGAGTTTAGTCTTAACCGATGTCTCACCTTCTTTGTCAGGACTGTCTTAAAGGGTTCAGTATGGGTGAGTTTAGTCTTAACCGATGTCTCACCTTCTTTGGCAGGACTGTCTTAAAGGGTTCAGTATTGGTGAGTTTAGTCTTAACCGATGTCTCACCTTCTTTGCCAGGACTGTCTTAAAGGGTTCAGTATTGGTGAGTTTAGTCTTAACCGATGTCTCACCTTCTTTGCCAGGACTGTCTTAAAGGGTTCAGTATGGGTGAGTTTAGTCTTAACCGATGTCTCACCTTCTTTGCCAGGACTGTCTTAAAGGGTTCAGTATTGGTGAGTTTAGTCTTAACCGATGTCTCACCTTCTTTGGCAGGACTGTCTTAAAGGGTTCAGTATTGGTGAGTTTAGTCTTAACCGATGTCTCACCTTCTTTGCCAGGACTGTCTTAAAGGGTTCAGTATTGGTGAGTTTAGTCTTAACCGATGTCTCACCTTCTTTGCCAGGACTGTCTTAAAGGGTTCAGTATTGGTGAGTTTAGTCTTAACCGATGTCTCACCTTCTTTGGCAGGACTGTCTTAAAGGGTTCGGTATTGGTGAGTTTAGTCTTAACTGATGTCTCACCTTCTTTGGCAGGACTGTCTTAAAGGGTTCAGTATTGGTGAGTTTAGTCTTAACCGATGTCTCACCTTCTTTGCCAGGACTGTCTTAAAGGGTTCAGTATGGGTGAGTTTAGTCTTAACCGATGTCTCACCTTCTTTGTCAGGACTGTCTTAAAGGGTTCAGTATGGGTGAGTTTAGTCTTAACCGATGTCTCACCTTCTTTGTCAGGACTGTCTTAAAGGGTTCAGTATGGGTGAGTTTAGTCTTAACCGATGTCTCACCTTCTTTGGCAGGACTGTCTTAAAGGGTTCAGTATGGGTGAGTTTAGTCTTAACCGATGTCTCACCTTCTTTGTCAGGACTGTCTTAAAGGGTTCAGTGTGGGTGAGTTTAGTCTTAACTGATGTCTCACCTTCTTTGCCAGGACTGTCTTAAAGGGTTCAGTATTGGTGAGTTTAGTCTTAACCGATGTCTCACCTTCTTTGCCAGGACTGTCTTAAAGGGTTCAGTATTGGTGAGTTTAGTCTTAACCGATGTCTCACCTTCTTTGCCAGGACTGTCTTAAAGGGTTCAGTATTGGTGAGTTTAGTCTTAACCGATGTCTCACCTTCTTTGGCAGGACTGTCTTAAAGGGTTCGGTATTGGTGAGTTTAGTCTTAACTGATGTCTCACCTTCTTTGGCAGGACTGTCTTAAAGGGTTCAGTATTGGTGAGTTTAGTCTTAACCGATGTCTCACCTTCTTTGCCAGGACTGTCTTAAAGGGTTCAGTATGGGTGAGTTTAGTCTTAACCGATGTCTCACCTTCTTTGGCAGGACTGGTCTTGGTAGGTTTTGTCCTGACCAGCCATCTGTCCGGCCTCTGCATGTCCAGTACCTCCACAAACTGCCCCTCGCTGAGACGGAGTGAGTCTGTCTCACTCTCGCCAGGGGCGTAGTCAGCTATCACAACATACACTGGGAAGCCCTGGAATGTAGCATAACAATGTGTATACTCTAACAAACATGAACATGAAATAGATATGTCAAGTTTAACTACAAATCTCATTTTTTCTTTTCGCCTTTGAAATTATGAATTTCTGTTCAAAATAATATTTCCCTATTTCAACACAAATTAATCTCTTTATCCAGAGGTTTCATCATTGTTGTGAGTAAATGCATACTGACATCCTCAGTTGTAAAGATTATTTCTACCTCTTTTGTTTTAATATTCGCATAATAAGGTTTAGCAAAAGGATAATACGTAATAGCTGTAGACATTGTCTGAACTACTTGAAATAAATGATGAGTCATCATAATGTAGAACATAATAAACACATATGTCAACAACAAATTAACTATTGCTTCTTCAGACTGTTATCAACAGAAATGATAATTTGAGTTATAATTTTCTGAAAATGATCAGATAAATATAATTAGGTACATATAACTTACATTGACCATCAAAGGTGATGGTCAAAATAACTCACTCTGGCACTCTGATGCCTCACTCTCGAATTCCGGATGAGACTCAACCCTAAAAAGTACTAGAAACTGTACTTTACTAAGAAAGTTTTGTCCCAAATATAACATTTGTTACATCTGACTCCTTTCCAAAGGGCATTGTGTGTTCATAGCTTTCGGCCATGAGTGCCGTGCCAATTTACATTTGTCAGAGGGGTACACAAAGTATGTGATCCATACTACCAGTTGTCAGACTTTCATTTTTGTGGAAGCCTTGGTTTGCCGAGTTGGTTAGATCACTGAGTTTGGGTGTTGGCGATTAGTTGCCTCACTCTGGCAGTGTGGGTTCGAATCCCCGGAATCTGTACTTTACTAAGAAAGTGTTATCCCAAATACGGTGTTGTTACATTAGTCAGAGTCAAAAGACATTTCTCAGGAAATCCAATTGGTAGTATTCCATCAACTGGTGAGTTACTAAATGTTGTTACTTACAAAACAAATCTCACCTTCTGTATTCAAACATAGTGAAATGAATCTGAAGAACAAATAATTAGTTTGTTGTGGCCTAACATTACTGTTTTGTGATCTTTTACCACTTTCACGAGTCATATAATGAATTTTTAATGAGTATTAATGAAAGTGGAATATAGGCCATGTGAACATGCATCTATGCTACATACAGTTTCCACTACCTAGCACTAGAACATCTCATCTAGATTGCAAACAAATTGTATGTCCTGACGCAGTGACTGAAAACTATCCTAATTCCAAGAAAAACCCAGTTTGCCTACCCTGAGGCTATACTTTTTTTAAACTTGCTTTACAGATCCGCCAACAATAAATTTTGTCGAATTGGAAAACATATAATTCTGAACTCTTTGTTTTATATCACTGATAAGCTGATAGCATATCACACCATCAATAAGGATCCACTGAAGTTGACATTTTTAACAGGGGAGTCATAATATAGTTTTCTGTTGTTCCTGACATTGATAGGATGCATAGATGCACAAGAGTATTCCTGCTTGATTCATCAGGTTTACATTGCTAAATGCTACGTATACAGCTGTGTTTCAGGCTCTCATCCTACATTAAACCATTTTTGTTTTTTATACCAGCTGGCCTGTAATGGAGGAGAGGACTAAAAATAAATTGATTTGTTTTTGTTTTTTCCCTACCTCTGACAGGTATTTTCCTGTAAAAATGCACACAGCAAGTAAAAAAGTAAAAATAATCAAGAGTCAGTGCCTTTGATATATCGATTGTGATTATAAGGCCCACAAAACATACCTCTCATGATACCGAAACTGAATCAACATTTAGATTTAGATTTGTATCATTTCTCATCATAAAATATGGACATAAAATGTGTCAGGATCTTATGTTTTAGATGTCATTACAGTAACAACATTGTTGACATCACCAAAACACATTCACTTGTTCATGTGATGTTTACTTTTGTTTCAGATATCTCAACAAAACCAAACATTTTACTTAAAAATGGACATATGGGGGACAAGAAAGTCTTCCTGTAATCACTAACTGCATGTGCAGGGTATAAACCTGGATTAACTGAGGGGTACAACAATTTTACCTCCACATTGAACACTTACTTCAGACTCCGTGGTCACATGTATACTTTTCAGGAAAAATATATGCTGGCAAAATAAAGGATATCATTAAATCATTTTGGAGAATTATGATGACTTGAGAATATTTAGCATAGAAAGCACTGATGTGAGTATGGACAATTGTTATTGATCCTGCAAAACATAGGGTCAAGCTCTTTCTAGAATACAGTGCTAAAATAAAAGAAAGATAATTCCATGCATTAAGTTAAAGAAGATGAATTAACAAAAGAGAAATAGGGCTATGTGAATATATACAGCAGACACTACCTCAGACACAAACAGTGAATAAGAAGCATAATATATAGGTAAACACAAAAGGAAGACTCATACAAGACACTTGAAGCATAATGTTCAGATATATAAAATAAAAATGCAATGAAGATATATAAGATGCATATTAGTTTCAAGGAGACAATTCTACTGCTGCTTAATTGTTGCTTACATTTAGTTTTATGAGATACACATGATTGACAGCTGTACCTGAATTGGATATTTGCAGTATCCACAAATCAAATTTGATGAAAGTATTATGACATTACAAATAAATAATTACAAAAGAGGAAGAAATAATGTAAAGTAGTAGATTAAGAATTGTCTCCCCTTCTGACCTTGATTTGTGAGGTAAGTATGACACAGCAGGTGAAGAACTTACTTCTCTAAGGCTGAAATGGCCTTCATCGTCGGATGTGTCCCCTGGCTCTATTTCAGTCGACCTCTGACTGGGAGATCGGGACAGTTTGCGCTCACGGCGACGTGCACTGCCATTTGTTTCTACAGAAACCAGTCAGTATTAAACTTAACAAATAGTATAAATGTATTCAATCAGGGTTTTTTATTTGTGGTTCAGTACCATCTTTGTGAACCCTGTCTTACACCATAGTTAGCAATATTTCAGCTATATAACAATTACCTATAGGTGAGGTGATATGCAATCTCATTAAAATCAGATGTTAGTTCTCGCTACTGCTAAACAAAGATCTGAGGACATCCCATTACGGGTCACGTCAGACCGACCTTGCGCAAACTTTGACCGACCAATGGATTGACCAATCAGAAGGGAACTCTCTCGTGCTTTACGGCACCAATTTCAAATTGGTTACTATGCTTCGAAACATATTTTGACAAATTCTCGATTACAAATTTCAAACCTTAACAAAAGAACATTATGGAATGGCTAATAGATGATCTAGATTGTATGGATTCAGTTGTTAAACCCGTAACCATCGTCCGGAATACCCCGTGTTAAAGTTTTCGAGGGTGCATTCCGAGGTAGAAATCACATTCCGACTGTCACTTTCATCATCTGGTAAGCGACGCTCTGATTAGTCGGATGAAAGGTCATTCTGACATGACCCCTTATGGGATCTCTTCAGATCTTTGTTCAGTGGTAGCTAGAACTAAGGTCTTATTTTAATGAGATCGGGTGATATGGGGTTTAACGTCATGTTCAAAATTATAACAATATGAATGATTGTGTGTGTGTAGCTGCTTGTACTAGTCTGGACACATTCTGGTGTTACAGTACTTGCCTACCGAGATATCCCACTCAGACACAGTAGACTGACTCCAGACTCATCACTCCTTGTTTTATCCCCTCAATGCAAAGTGCATAACATCTGGTACGACACAGCCAGGTATCAAACCATCAACCTTCCGTTCTCCATGCAGTCTGTCCACTAGACCATGGACAAACCAGTAGTTAACTGCTTACACATCCTCTCTGTGAAACAAGATAACTACTTCTCATATCAGAGTAATGATGAAACTCATCTGCTACATTGTGGTTATGTGTATTCCCTGAATATCCTACCTTCTGGTGTGGAGAGCTGCACATCCTGGCACTTGAGTGAGGAGGAAGGAATGTAGGCTACCTGAAACACAGTCAAGTGGGGCACTGGAACAATGTTTGACATCAGTCAATAATTTTACAGGTACATAACATGGCAGCTGATAACTAACCAAGACCTGTGATCCAGAACTTCAGTGCACAATGACATACAATAGTGAATGCAGATTGAGGGGATCTTGGGGGTGCACCTGCCCCACCTGCTTCCGTCAGACATGGTACATGTAAACCTATCTGATGTTTCCCGCCACTCCAAGTCAACATATTGTACCCACAAGATACCCAGTTCAGTTTGTGTGGGAACCAATTCAATACCCACCAAGGCCCACAGTGAGTTAGGCAGTTCACTGGTATTAACATTATTTCCTGCATATCAATGCAGGGGATGACACGAATCGGCCTTACACATTTAAGCAAGCATTGATTCATGCTGGCTGTGACAAGTGACAGCTTTAACCACTAGGCTACCCCACCACCTACTCCAAGTTGACACAGGTGTGAAACACGCTGAAAAGTAGGGCTAACTTTGTTCTTATCATAGTTCTTGATACACAAGCCATTATCTTGCTACAAAAAACACTATTCCCACCACATTACGTTATGCTAAAAACAAGGACTGTAGATATACTTTAAGATACCCGACATTAACAAATTGCCAGACTGGTCTGATCCAGTCCAGATTTAAAAAAGAATTCAGCTATTCACAACAAAGTTCATATGAGTGAGCTTTATCTCAGTTAGAGCAGAATATCAGTTATATCAGTGTGTCAGCTTGATGCTGGAAGAAAGCAGCAAGAGATGCAGGTCTTAGAAGTTTACCACTCTTTTGAAACCCATTATCATCAGGGCAAATCTTGGATTCAAACACACAATCATAGGTTGCCAGGATGCCTAAGGGACATAACTATGCACTGTCATTGGTGGGGCATTCGACATCTGGGCCATCCATGACCCATATGCTGTGTTTAGCATCACTGCGTTAATATAATCATTATCATTCAATAGGTAAAAAAATTGGTTAATTGATACAAATGAGCTGAACAGTCCAGGTATAAATACAAAGTAAGAAAACTCAATGATGCAATCATGAGAGCCTCATAACTCATGCCTCATTTGATATAAAAACAACTGTAACAAAAATATATCAGTAATCTTGTGTTTCTGTTCCTCTCAGCATAGTGGCGCACATGGTACTACTTCTGGTGAAAGCTTAATGATACTGTTTATGCTTTGTGTATAGCTGATGTATTCCCGACACATGAGAAGCATTAGGTACGCTAACCACATAGACATGCAGTGAGCAGTAGCTGCTCCACATAGTCTTTCTTCCACTATCAATTTCAGGCACAAATAGCTATATTTGTTTTATTCATGCTGCTTCAGTAAACATAAGTTTTTAAATAACATTTTCATTGAAAAAGATACTGTTAGTGTTTATTTCAGTGAGTGTAGCAGAAGCTTGGCGAGAAAAATATTCCATTCAAAATACTTCTCTCAAATATTGCTACGCCAAACAATTATGGTTCAAGTTGATCTGTGGAGAGTGTCACTTCTTATCTTTATAATCTGAATGTAATATTGAGGATAACTGATCAAAGAGTTTGTTTTGCATAATCAGCAAATATCATGCATAGTCTTCTTTGGGAACATCATAGTTTTCATCATTGCTTCAATAATGAATAAAGAATACTTCTTTTCATCCGATGGTTTATTTTTTATCTTAAAGATTACTTTTTCTGACTCATTGTTACATCATCCTACATTTATTTTTTTTCTTGAAGAGCTGGGGCAGTGGGATTGCCTAGTGGTTAAAGTAGTTGCTTGTTGTGATGAAGGCACAGGTTCAATTCCCCACATGGTACAATGTGTGAAGCCCATTTCTGATGTACCCTGCTGTAATATTGCTAAAAGCATCATAAAATCCAGAAGGTTTCAGATGTTTCCTCATGACATTGTGTGAATCAACATAAAACCTTAATATTTCTATTCTAAAGTGCTACAATTTTCTGTAGAAATCTCACCTGTTCCTTGTCAGTTGTTTTCCTCACCAGCCAGTTGCCTGTCTGAAGAGTTGAGTTGAGAACCTCCACGACATCCCCCAAGTTCAAGGTCACATTTGTGCTGTCATCTGTATGCTCTGTGGTGACAGCATATACCCGCAAGAAATTGTCCTACAAGGGAGGTAACTCAATAAGTGCAAGCTCCATGTGCTTTATGCATGTGTGCTGTGACCATGCAAGACTACATCCTTTGCTGAAGCTGCATCTTCCAATCTGCAAGGGACATCCTTTGGAATCGTCATGCCTATCCAGTGAGGAATTACAGGTGCACAGCATCCTTGGGAATTGGTCATGCCTTTCCACACAAGAATCTCCTAGCACACCAAGTGTGGGATGGTTCCTACATGGCTGTGATTCCTACAGGTCTTTTCATGCAACATCCTGTGAGTGTAGAACCTACCTTGCTTCATCTATCATGCTGGATAGGGTATATGTTTGTGTTCTATGTGATCACACGACTATACAATACATCACTTCTTTAGGGTGGTCTGGGAGAAGGTAAATCCAAGCAGGTGATCCATAAGCAGGTGGTCCCAAGAGGGCCTAGGTGGTCCTCAAGAAGGATGGTTATCAGTGTCTTGACTATAGTGTGGAACATGCTCTGTGTATAGGTGGAGGTCCTAGGATCAGTACCATGCATTCACAGTCTTTAGATTGACAGTCATATACTGACAACTATGCAAAAGGCTCATCCCATAGAGTTTGTACCAGATTGTTGCTATTGACTTGTAATACATGATGCTATGACAGATCTGATATTCCATGCAGGGCATAACCTGATTGTGTTATGGTCACACATGGCTTCCAAGGGTTTGGGATGACATACACACAGCCAGACTGTGTGAAGAATCAAAGTGTTTGGATGGTTGACGGACTGAGGTATGATAATCATATTGGGTATGATGTTCCTACTGACGTTCCATGCAATATATTCTGAATTGAAGTTGGACTCACACATGTTACTGTAAAGTGTAATCACCAAGAAGTCCTTAATTTCATCACCAACATATATGGAAATGGGGAGGATTAGGGCTACTCTGGAGACCTACAAAGTGATTGCTTCAATTAGTTATAACCAACATAGTTGAATGAACTGATTCTTATACTGGATACTGGACATTTCCACAAGATGTGAACCATTAATTTCTGTTGTAGAAGTTGTCAGCATCTTCTCACAAGAAGTCCCCCCCAAAATGTTTTCCTTGTGAGGCTGTGAATTGTCACTGTTAGCTTCCACCATCTTCATGGAGTATACTGCTCATCTTTGACCAAGTAATTTCAGTATCCTTCCAGAGTTCCATATGTCAGTACATTTGGAATGCAAGTTGATGTTGAAACATGGCCATAATTGCCTCAAAACCTCAATTTGAAGAGTTCAAGGTCTGTCTGGCAATTATCACATCAGTGATATGTCTTAATACAGTTGTACTGTCTTCTAACTACTCAATACCACATCATAATGACGAGAATAGTATTCACCATGTACATGCATCTCAACTGAGAACACAGATGTGACATTATTAGTCATCCTTCTCTGTAACTACCCACTGTGGTCAAAGCACTGGTTATCCTCCTCTCAAATGACAAGGATGATGTCAGTGATGTTCATCTTATGTTATGTAGGTCAAAGGTCACATAGGCCACAATGATGATCATTCTCTACTGTGAAGGTCAAGGGTCACATAGGTCACCATCCAGGGCAGTACAGGATCTTCTTGTGCTTTCCCGTCCCACTGTCAAAGTCAGGAGGGGTTACCATAATGGGAGAAAACATGGAGCCACTGCAGAAATTATTTGTTCTTCAATGCAAACTTTGATACAAACCAATCCATGTTGTGTGTTAAGTAGCTAAATGCCTTCTCCAAAATAGGATAAAATTTATAATAGAACTGCATGCAGGAACAGGGATGGATGTTGTTGAGGAAGGTTATGGAACAACTATTTGTAGAATGAAATGAAAGAACATGCGAATGTGTGTATGAACATGAGGGTGTTCCATAAGTCCCAAGAGCTCCTGCAATCTCCCACATGTACCTGTCAGCTTGAAACATACAGGGCACTAAACATCTTCTCAATTATCAAAAATTTGCAAAACAAAGTGGTTTAGCTACAAGAGAGGCATAAGAAACCCTACAAAATTCTACAAAAGTTAATCTAACAAAATTTAACAAAACAAAGGGCCCTTTAAGGTAGGACCTGGTAGAGAACATGTGTATGAGGTGATGTAAGTATGATATGTCGCTAGTATGTGCATATTCAGCTGCATATGCAAGGGCTTAGTGATGGAGTTTGCGTTAAATGCCACATTGAACAGTATTTTAGTTCTATCACATGTCAACTTAATTGACACAGTTTGTACATTTACCCCTCGAGCAGTGCTATGGGGCAGACAGACCAAGTACCATCACTAGGCAAATCTGGGATCCCAAACCCAACAGATTCTGACCCTTAGGCACGCAACTCTTGGACATTCATGTCCTGCATTGTCCTGGAGGTAATGGAATCCTCTCATATAACTACAGTAAACTACGGTTATAACGAACACTATTATAACGAACTGACGGATATAACGAACTTACTTTTTGGTCCCTACTATTAGCTGTAGTTATGCTGAATATATGCTTATAACGAACTACGGTTATAACGAACTAAAATTAGAGGTCCCTTTGAATTCGTTATAACCGTAGTTTACTGTACTCATTAAACTCATCTTTGTAACCTATGTGAATGTTTCACATGAATGTTAGGTAAAGCCCAAAAATAAAACAGGTTGTAGAGTTTTGGTGAAACCAATGAGCTCTGGAATGCATATGGCACTGAGAGGTCAAGGATCCCAATTTGGGTGAATGTGAATTCAGACCAGCAGCTCCACAGGACACAACTCTGTACTTTGATCTGCATCACCTCAGACCACGAAGCACACTGCAGTTTCAGATACTTATGGGACACCCATAACATGTAAGTAAGAAATGAAAAGAGGGTTTTGCATAACATGAACAAACAGATGTAATATGCAGTTAGATGTATTTCGTGGGAATCCCATTGTAATCTGAAGCATAACTCATCAACATAACAACCTGAGTTAACAAAAGGCATGTCATTCATCTGAGGATAAAGCCATTGGTTTATTAGCTGCATCTGGAACTACCATGCAAGCAACTTACAACACTTGGCATTTCAGGACCTGTGTAATGCATGTTTTTCTTGATCTGCAGCATCTTGTGCAATATATCAAAGCACCATCCTCCACAAGAACAAGTCCCACTGGTGGATCATGTTACCCTAATCTCTGTTTCACCATCTTCCTAGAATACTTATCTTTACATGCAAAGGATATAAACACCTTGTTTCTTTTATTCATGTTTGCATTCAGCAAACTTATTCTATTGTGTTCTTATGAGCAAGCCTGGCTGAGGCAGCTACTGATTGCATGTTGAGGTAATAGAGACACGTGCAGACATTTCCATGACATCAGGCAAGTGCAAGTACTCAAAACCAAAAGTAACAAACTGTTACTGTGATGGACAACTGACAAGGTATGGGTATTGTCTATGGTGTCTTTGATAGCATGACATGAAGCCCTGTGGTAGAAGTCAGACGACAGAAAAAAAGAACAATTTTCCATTATTAAATATAGTTCCAAAGGAAACCTATTACTGTTTTCACCCAAATCTTGTCTTCTGAATCAATACAGAATCTACCTAGAAATCAATCTTCAATCCAAGCATAAAATTAATGTCAGAAAACAAAAAGCAAACAGTTACTTTCAAATGGAGTAAGAATTTCAGCTTCAAGAACAACAATATTCAATAAGATATGACTATGAAATACCTAGGTAACACTCATGCATGTATGCAAGATCACTACAGCTAAACATCTGTGTAATCAATTTCAATATTTGGAAGAAGTTTACTGTTTCATTTCAACATAGAGCTTATTCATAAGGAATTTGGTTCCTTTTTATTAATCAACAGCCATTCAATGAGATAGAACATTGTACAAATGTAACTCTGGTCTCCTAGCTAAGAAAAATTCTTCCAAATGATGAAATTTGTCTATGCTATTCTCTACTGTGTAGGAATCAAGAAACACACAACACACAGAACACAGAGATGCAACATGTGAATGGGAACATTTTATTCAAACATTGATCAAGTCAAGATGCAGTATAAGACTCAGTGGAATAACAGGTTTCTACATGGCATCAAAGAAACTTGTTCCAATGTGACCAGTTTTTCTCATCTTCTCTGTAATATGTTTTTTAATAGTATTGGTAACCTTCAGCCTTTGAAATTCACGCCAGTCCAAGACTACTAAATTGTGCTGAGGACAAGTCACAATCCAAAGATGGTGTGTGTCATAAACTCATCATGAGTAGCATTTTACGGCTAAAACTTCTGAACCAGGTCTCAATGTTTCAATTTTGCTACAAACTGGAATTGAATAAAACTGACAGCAAACGCAACAATTGTAAACATTTTCATCTTGTTCAAACAGGACTATCTACAAACTATATTTCCACAAGTTCTTTGGACTAGTCTTTAAAATCAACTTTCTAAGGCTGAACCTGTTGTATGTTATAAAGTACAGACCAATTATTCCTTTTTACTTTTCTTGTGATTTTTTAGAGTAGACTCAACTTCAAAGCAAGAAATAGATTTGAATAAGTTTCGAAGCATTCTTATTATTTCATGCATGACTTTTAACACACAGAACTGTCTATGTACTGTCCCTCTAGTTTAACCTAGAAGACATACAGTTTTATGTAGTATGTCATCACTTGAACAAGTTACTTTAACACCACAATGAGGTCAAGGAGAGTCATTCCAGAATCTTGTCACAATGTTCAATCAACGATTACCAATCACTTCAATGATTTCTTTTAAGGATTGGAATCATAGGAGCGATTTCCAATGGTAATGACTTAATCAATTTCCAGTAAATAATGTTGCTGATTGTCAATCCATATTGCACAGTATCAGTTCTGAACAACACTTGTACCTCTCTTTTAACTTCAATAATGTCTTGCTTTTACAACAAAACTTTTCAACAAAACATTAATAACCAAAAAAGAAAACAAAAGAAAGAGGGAAAATAAATATTAAAATTGTTTCCAATATATGCCTTTTCTAAATTTTGAAGAGGCATTTCAGAAATTGCTTCGGCTTTAAGAAAATATTTCTTCAATTTGCCTTTTTTGTATGCAACAATATGTTTCAAATTAAAGACATAATAAAAAAATTATAAAACAATTCAAATACATGTATTGTCACAAATCCTGGAATGGCAACAAATGGAATGTATGAAACACTGAGCATTTAATAACTGTCACTATAACATCCCTGAGTATATAATATCAATATGAATACAGTATGAAAAATCTGAATAAATGCAACATCTCACCATTGCAGTGTATACAAGAGTGGAACCAAAAAATCTGTTTCTCCTGTTTAAGGTCCAGATAGACCAAAATACTACTCTTGATCATACACTTTCATGACGCCAAAAAGCATATTGTGACAAAATTGTTAACAACATGAATTTTTTCTACTTTATTCAATAAATATGTATTTATCTTTCTTTTTTCACATAACTATATTTTAAAATAATAGCCTCTAATCTGATGAAAATTTAACATATTCAAAATGTGATGATATTACCGATAGTTTTAAAAGTAAGTGAAAAGTATCACAATTTTTCTTTCCTCATTCACACCACTCATTCAAATCATCAAACACACCAAATATCACTCATGGAAGGTTTATCACTGATCAGTTTCTGTGTAATATAGTAAAAGAAATTACCTACTTAACTTGGTTGTCCACATGTTAATAAATTTGTTTTATCATGCTTTAGTAATTAATACAAACCAACTTAATCATCCTTAGTCAGCGCCTAATACCTTATTTAGATAACAATTGACCATCCTTCATATAACTGAGGTAGGTTTCTCTGCTGTGTCAAACATGTTAATTCTGCTTTCAATATCACTGAAAGTTCTGTTTAGCCATCGACTAGAAACATGGGTTAGCTCCCCTTGGGGAAACCCTGCACCATTTTATGGACCCCGAAAGCTACAAGAGTGAATGCTGCAGCCGCGCCTACAAGTTTGATATATCTACGTGTTGTCGATTCAGTACTGACATCAGTGTCCGAGCGTTCCGACATTGCCATCCGGAGTTCCTCATTGGATAGTCCGCTCTCAACATCAGTGATCCCTGTGAAACAAACAAAACATTGTTCACATTCTGCATGAACCTATTTCTCATACACCTTAGTTTCTCCAAATTTATTTTATAAAATAATTATATCCATATCAGTAATAAAGAAAATGTTTTTAGTTTAATATCTAACATATATTCAGGCAGTCATTAACTAATATTTGAAACACTATACCATCTTTTTTTTCAAAATAAACCACATAATATACAATTTACAATTTGTAAATTTGAAAACAAACTATCATGAGGTGTAACTGAAACCATTTCATAATACTGTAAGGTAAACATTTACCACATATTATTTCCTATATGGTGTCTGTGCCAAGTTTTTTTCAGCATTTTCACTAAGCTTATGTCATAGATTGGGCCAGTAAAGTTGTATATTATGAGTATCTTTATTTTAATCATGCTGTGTAAATTTTACAAAACAAGTTAACTTAACATCAGCATATGGTTATATTTCATAAGGGTATAACCTTAAACAGGAGATTTCCTGTTTCATTTGTTTCCAAGTCTGGTCATGCACTGATCTACCAACAGTTACTATCACACCACAAAAGAGCAACTACAGACTCTACACATTTCCATGTCACATACTGAGAGCAGCCATAAGGAAAACAAAGGCAGATTATCTAAACAGAGAAGCAAATATTTTATTTTGTGATCACAAAACCCATAAAACATATTCTACTAATGACATATTCAGTCATTCCGAAGATTAGCACTACCCTTTTACCCATAAAAACACAAATGGAAGTCTTTATATACATTTTCACAATGATTTTTTAATGTTTTTAAGCCATACAGGGTTCTTATTTTATCATGATAAACATTATAAACTCCTCATGGTCAACATCTTCCCAAGGCAAGGGAGTTAACTGAATATAAGAGGCCATTTCCACCCTAGCCAATCTAGCCTGGAATCATGGAGTTTTTGGTTGGACTAACAAGTCAATGCATAGTCCAATCAAAATCGTGTAACATCTGTTTTGTAAACTGCCATGAGGATATTGGTCAATTGCAGGATTTGCAAAGCATGTGTACCGCTAACATGGTGTCAACAGATATTTTCTAAATCTTTTCATGTTTTTAATCACGGTGCTCATGTAACTGATGCACTTAACGAAGTAAGACCTGTTTTATTACAATATAGATTTTGATTATTGATCAGATCAGTTTGTTTGAAGCAAATGCAAGTGATATTGATATGAGAGGTGGAATCTCATTGGTCAATTGGAGGGAAACGAAAGGGACATAACTCATAATAGCCATTTGTGACACTATGATTGAGCTCCAAATTTCCAGCAAAGTTTGGCAGTGAACTCTCTTGCCTAGGGTAGATGCATGGTCAACAAAGAAGAGGTGTTTTTTATTTCAATTTTGTTTCAGCTGGTAAACCGATATACTTGGGTAATTTGAAACACAAATCCATAATCTAAACAAAATGTATTTTAATTCAGTGTATCAAGAAGACAATGTAATGGCTTTCACAATACAAAATAACCAGATTCAAGCATCTACTGCAAGCAAATAATTCATTGTCTCTAATTCTGAAACAACAGAAAACTGTTGAAATAAGCAATAACAACAACAAGATAAACAACAGTAGAAGCAACAACATCATATCTGCATGCATGGAATCTATTTCTTCATAATAATGTTTCTGAAAAGCTAAAAACTAAAAGAAGTAGTGTTGGTTGGTTTCATTTTATAGCATTGAATCCCGGAAACCTTGGGATTATGTAGTTGATAACATCAAATCCTATACAAAGGAATATTACTCCATCCCCTTGATACACTTTTCCAGGCAATTCACAGGTTTCACCATTATTAAAGACTTTTGTTTATTATGGCTGTGTATTGGAAACTAAATTGCTTTATATTGCAATACAGGTATCTGTGGTGTGATATGTATTGATTCCACATGCAGATCCTATTTTGTACATACGAGAGTAATTATTATGATGTCAATCAATTTTGAAGGGGAACATCATTTGTGAATGAATTCATGTGTAGATTTGAGGTTAAACGACATGAATAATAACAATATAATAATAATAACTATTTTCCTTACCCAATATACCGGAACACAGAGAAAACATTGCAAAATGATATGCATACTGGTAATATCATGCAGTCCTTTTGTTTATCAACTTAAACTAGATACATCAAACAACATGGAACAGTTACTGGTACAACAAACTGCCTCTACATGTATCTACAAGCCAATGGATCTATATGCACTCATTCTACCATCGCTGCCACCAAATTTAAAGACTATATGACCTTTACCTTCAACTGTAAGTCTTATAACCACAGAAATTGTTCCTTCGCTGTTGGTAGCTACACACTCATATTCACCACTGTCCATGAAAGTTGCCTGTGGAATTTCTAAATAATGGCATCCGTCAGATTCAAATATTCTCATACGATTGTCTGCCTTTAGTGCTTGACCTTCTTTCTGCCACTTGACCTCTGGTGTTGGGGTTCCTAAACCATGGAAATTAAGATTAAATATAATAAAAGATATAAATTGTTTTGCAGATATTTAGATAATGAAGAACATCACAATTTCAACAGAACTAAATGATTCAGATTCTAAGAGATATCAAGGATTGAATAGTTCAGTAATTATATATGCATGATGGTACCATTGCTTCTAATATACAAATGAAATAATCTTTACCAAAAAGATGTGTTTGAAATAACATCAGGTGCTTTAACCATAAATGTTTATGCAAGGGATAACAAGAGAAAATCCTTTTTTTCAAACACCAATAAAGTCATCATGGAGCGCATTTGTCTTTAAAAATTGAGAAATCACCAAATCCTTTGGTAAGACCTCATGAGCAAAATAATATCAAAGGTTGAAATGTAGTTAGTAAATAATAATAGTGGTATCAGTAGAGAAGCCACCTACCTTTAACAGAGCACACAAGTTTAACTTGCTCAAATTCTTGAACAGTCACATCTTCTGGTTTGATGACAAATTCTGGAGACGTCAGGATGGCTGTCACACTGTCAGAATCATAAATACATGTATTACTGAAACATGTTACAGCAGTAGTATTAGTATTAGTATTTAGTACTACCCTGCTACTAAAACTGTCAGTGTTGCCTAATCTGAATCACTGGTTCTACATCCTGCCATCCAGTAAGTCATCTAGCCCCTCTGCCCATCCCTGGCAGCCATGTTTCCACGTTGCACCCATTGTCGCTCCCCATCCCCTTGTCAACATTTACGTCATTCATAAAGCTTAGTACTGCACTCATCTACCTATTCAACAGTGAGTTCAGACAATATAAGTTGTCACCAAAACTTCTGGGGTGATGTACTGTGTGTGAGCCTAGGCACCCCGAGTCATCGGGCTCACACACAGGGTAAATCACACCATATGCCCTGATGGACAGGGCGACAATGAATTTATCTCCTCAACATTAATTCATACGGACCTAGAATATATGTCCAAAGTTTCACAGAGAGAAATGCTTTGATTCAGCCATTTTGACAGCTAGCAACTGATCCATTTTGACAGCTAGCAACTGATCCAAGTTACTTCCTTTTACCAAATGCATTCAGATAAACATCAGTTCGTTTCAACTCAATCATACTCCCAATCACACACCTCACCTTGCCCAACCCAACACTCACTCACTCCTCCCCTACAAGTGCCCACCCAACACCTCACCTAGCCCCACCCAACACTCACTCTCTCCTCCCCTGCAGGTGCCCATCACACACCTCACCTAGCCCTCCCGAGACTCACCTGATTTCATCCCCTGTAGGTGCCCACCCCACACCTCACCTAGCCGCTCTTGAGACTCACCTGATTTCATCCCCTGTAGGTGCCCACCCCACACCTCACCTAGCCCCTCCTAACACTCACTCACTCCTCCCCAACAGGTGCCCATCACACACTTTAGCTAGCCCCTCCAAACACTCCCTCACTCCTCCTCTGTGGGTGCCCATCCCACACCTCACCTAGCCCCTCTTGAGACTCACCTGATTTCATACCCTGCAGGTGCCCACACCACACCTCACCTAGCCCCTCCTAACACTCACTCACTCCTCCCCAACAGGTTCCCATCACACACTTTAGCTAGCCCCTCCAAACACTCCCTCACTCCTCTGTGGGTGCCCATCCCACACCTCACCTAGCCCCTCCCGAGACTCACCTGATTTCATCCCCTGTAGGTGTCCACCCCACACCTCACCTAGCCCCTCCTAACACTCACTCACTCCTCCCCAGCAGGTGCCCATCACACACTTTAGCTAGCCCCTCCAAACACTCCCTGACTCCTCCTCTGTGGGTGCCCATCCCACACCTCACCTAGCCCCTCCGGAGACTCGCCTGATTTTGTCCCCTGCAGGTGCCCATCCCACACCTCACCTAGCCCCACCCAACACTCACTTCTCCCCTGCAGGTGCCCATCCCACACCTCACCTAGCCCCACCCAACACTTACTCACTCCTCCCCTGCAGGTGCCCATCACACACCTCACCTAGCCCCACCCAACACTCACTTCTCCCCTGCAGGTGCCCATCCCACACCTCACCTAGCCCCACCCAACACTTACTCACTCCTCCCCTGCAGGTGCCCATCCCACACCTCACCTAGCCCCACCCAACACTCACTTCTCCCCTGCAGGTGCCCATCCCACACCTCACCTAGCCCCACCCAACACTTACTCACTCCTCCCCTGCAGGTGCCCATCACACACCTCACCTAGCCCCACCCAACACTCACTTCTCCCCTGCAGGTGCCCATCCCACACCTCACCTAGCCCCACCCAACACTTACTCACTCCTCCCCTGCAGGTGCCCATCCCACACCTCACCTAGCCCCACCCAACACTCACTTCTCCCCTGCAGGTGCCCATCCCACACCTCACCTAGCCCCACCCAACACTTACTCACTCCTCCCCTGCAGGTGCCCATCCCACACCTCACCTAGCCCCACCCAACACTCACTTCTCCCCTGCAGGTGCCCATCCCACACCTCACCTAGCCCCACCCAACACTTACTCACTCCTCCCCTGCAGGTGCCCATCCCACACCTCACCTAGCCCCACCCAACACTCACTTCTCCCCTGCAGGTGCCCATCCCACACCTCACCTAGCCCCACCCAACACTTACTCACTCCTCCCCTGCAGGTGCCCATCACACACCTCACCTAGCCCCACCCAACACTCACTTCTCCCCTGCAGGTGCCCATCCCACACCTCACCTAGCCCCACCCAACACTTACTCACTCCTCCCCTGCAGGTGCCCATCCCACACCTCACCTAGCCCCACCCAACACTCACTTCTCCCCTGCAGGTGCCCATCCCACACCTCACCTAGCCCCACCCAACACTTACTCACTCCTCCCCTGCAGGTGCCCATCACACACCTCACCTAGCCCCACCCAACACTCACTTCTCCCCTGCAGGTGCCCATCCCACACCTCACCTAGCCCCACCCAACACTTACTCACTCCTCCCCTGCAGGTGCCCATCCCACACCTCACCTAGCCCCACCCAACACTTACTCACTCCTCCCCTGCAGGTGCCCATCCCACACCTCACCTAGCCCCACCCAACACTCACTCACTCCTCCCCTGCAGGTGCCCATCCCACACCTCACCTAGCCCCACCCAACACTTACTCACTCCTCCCCTGCAGGTGCCCATCCCACACCTCACCTAGCCCCACCCAACACTTACTCACTCCTCCCCTGCAGGTGCCCATCCCACACCTCACCTAGCCCCACCCAACACTTACTCACTCCTCCCCTGCAGGTGCCCATCCCACACCTCACCTAGCCCCTCCTGAGACTCACCTGATTTTTCTCCTGCAGGTGCCCATCCCACACCTCACCTAGCCCCACCCAACACTTACTCACTCCTCCCCTGCAGGTGCCCATCCCACACCTCACTTTGCCCCACCCAACACTTAATAACTCCGCCCCTGCAGGTGCCCATCACACACCTCACCTAGCCCCACCCAACACTTACTCACTCCTCCCCTGCAGGTGCCCATCCCACACCTCACCTTGCCCCACCCAACACTTAATAACTCCTCCCCTGCAGGTGCCCATCACACACTTCACCTTCCCCCTCCCGAGACTCACCTGATTTCGCCCCCTTCAGGTGCTCCCCCCGTGGCCCCCTCCTCCTGTGGGGTAGTGACTGTGACCTGGACATCACTGAAGATGGTGCCATCAGAGTTGTGAGCTGTCAGGGTGTATGTGCCAGCGTCAGTACTGGAGGCCTCCCTGATTTCCAGAGTGTAGATGTCATTGTCAGCAATGAGGGAGATCCTCTCAGTGGGCTTCACTGTGTCCCCTTCTCTAAACCATTTCACCTCAGGGGCAGGACTTCCTACCAAATTGAAACAAGATATTGACCTAAATAATTTACCGAAAGGTATATCTTCCTTGAAAATTGAAACAAAATATTGACTTAAATAATCGTTGAAAAATACATCTTCCCTACCAAATTGAAACATAATATTGCTCTATATAATTATTGATAGGTACCTCTTCCTACCAAATTGAAACATAATATTGCTCTATATAATTATTGATAGGTACCCCTTCCTGCCAAATTGAAACATAATATTGCTCTATATAATTATTGATAGGTACCCCTTCCTACCAAATTGAAACATAATATTGCTTTACATAATTAATGAAAGGTACCCCTTCCCACCAAATTGAACCATAAGGTGATATTTTCATGAGTGGTATCAACTTTGCAGGTCACAATATGAGGTGAACTACCGGTAGTTATTTGATGAGAATAGACAAATATCCTCTGCATATAGCCATTGAAAGGGGGCATCTTCCTACCAAATTAAAACAAAATATAGTGCTACAAATAATCGCTGAACAGTGCATCTCTAAATGGTGCAGAGACAACACATACTCATATCCCTTGTACAACAAAATACCACTACCTCCACAGACAATCAGGAATCAAGATGACATATTCCATGTATTCTCATACAAGTAATCATGAAAATACTGGTATTGTGAATATTGTTGAAGTATGACCAATATTCAAATCCCAAAGCTAGATCAACTGAACAATTACCAGGGAATACCTGTGTCATATCACTCATCAGCTTTTTTCACAGTCTACAGTCAAGGACTAAGACATTATCAAAATGATATTTAGTGTAAGAGTGATGAGTAAGGCAATGATTGTCACTGACAAAAACATTCAAAACTGTTGGTCAATTTATAAACAGAATTGTTTGCATTTGATATTTCAGTTCATATGATTTTCTATAAATATATTTTCTAACATAACTGATCTAAAAGAGTTATGAGTGTCATAACAGACAATAAAATATACCCTGCATTAAAAAATGATATTCTTAAGAAAGACTTAAGACTCAAGAAAGACTTTTCATTTTAGTATGTTTTTATGCCACTTTTAGCAATATTCCAGCAATATCACGGCGGGGGACACCAGAAATGGGCTTCACACATTGTACCCAAACACACGCCTTTGGTATGACAAGCGAACGCTTTCACAACTAGGCTATCCCACCGCCCCTCTTTATATTTCAAGATAGAACTATCTGGCAAGATTTCACATTGTATGCATGTTCATATCCAACATGTGACGGCCGCTGTAGTTTGAATATGATCTGACATGAAGGAACATCTAATAGTATATGATAATAAATACAGATTAATCTAAACAGGCTGACATCATCATGGCTACGTTCATAACCAAGAGGACCATGTGGTTTACATAATGCATGTATACAATCCAGCATTATGCTGGCCCAATACAGAATCATTTATAGATCAACACCCCAGAATTCTGACTGCAATAGGTGCCATGGTACAAACAGATAAATGGAGAAAACATATATAAACATCCAACTGCTTGAGTGTCATTAAATGTTTAAAGATCTTTTTAAAAATCAAATTTATAAAGCCTATAAACAGTTTTAATATGTTTGGGTGTAATGTAACTTTATGTAATACACAGTTAGCCTCTAATGATGTGTAAATGACACAAATATATTTTCAGTAAAAGTATAAAGAAAGACCATCTAATCTAAACAAACATATGTCACTGATATCATATCATCAATTTTGTAAAAAATGTTGATTGAGAAAATAATTCACTGAACACCCCATCCCTTATGCTGACTACAAAAACAGAACATTACTGAACACCTGTTTTGAAAGCGATCATGTTATTTACCTTGTTAACACAGAAACACTGAGCATGCTGAGCAAATAAACCTTATGAAATAACCAACTGACCTTGAACTTCTGATACAAGTTGAATGGTCTCGCCAGACTGTACCGACACATCTTCCGGAACTCGGGTGACTTTTGGTGGTGATAGGACCTGTTCTGTATCTACAGTGGCTGACATCTTTAATCTTGAACCTTCTGAGTCATATTTCTGCTCACTCACATCAACATCTGCCGTCAGTGCCAATGTCTCATCCAATTTTTTTTCAGTCTCAGAGATATCGACTTCAGCCTGTAATAGCATCACATCCTCTTCCCCAGGTTGCTTGGTGTTCTCGACATTTCCATCAGCTTGTAAAATTAGCTCATCTGGCATTACTTGTGCCCTTTCTGAGTCCGTCTCTTGGCATTGTTTGGATTCACTGACCTCTGCAGGCTGTGGGGCTTCGCTGATTTCACTGAGATTATCCTCCCCTGTTGCAATCTCGGAAAGAATACTGCTCTGAGTTTCAACAGCGCCTTCCTTGTCTGCCTTCTGCATCACTTTTTCACCAGCCATAGTTTCACCTGCTTGACTTTTCTCCTCATTTTCAATTGTATTTAATTCTGCGAGAGCGGCAAGGTCATCTAAAGATGCTTGTTCTATATATGTTTCTATGGATGTCTGTTTCACCAATTGCTTGCCAGTACCATGCTCCACACTTACTTCAGCTGATGCCTTGACATCTTCGTCAAATTGTTTGGTAGTTTCTGTTTTATCTCCTTCATCTAGAAAACTTTCATCAACTTTAGCCGCTTCCAAATTTTTGTCAACAGTTTGCAAACTGTTCCTGTCAACTTCAGCAGCTGCAGCTATTTCATTTGCCCTGAGATCTAGCACTTCATCACCTGGAAGGCTTTCTTCACTGACCCCATCTGCCATGAATACATCCTGGGCTTTCTTAACTTCAGCCTTTTCTTCCTCAGTTTTTGATACAAAAGAGACTTCAGTCTCTTGGAGATTCTGAGTTGTTTCTATTGCACTATCCACATTACTCTCATCAACATGTTGCTTAAAACTAACAAATTTAGGCACTCGTTCAACTTCATCAGCACCAGACACTGTTTCTTTAGCCATAGATGCCTCCTGTGCTTCAAGATGCTCTGCACTGTCCACAGAAGATCCAGTGACCTCCAGTTCCTCCACCTGGAACTGAGTCCCTTGTAGAGACATATCAAATATGCCACTGTCAGGGCCGAGACTCATTGAAGTAGTTTCTCCAGTAGTCTCTGGCACGTCAGAGACTTCCTGTTCGGGAGGGCCTTCCTTGACCTCTGTAACACTACCCACAGCTTCCACTACTGCAGCTATAGGCTGTTCCTCAACATTCACATCTGTTTGTGACTGGGATATCTCATCAAAAGGTAAATCCTCAACCGATCCTTCAGATTGTTGATCTTTCATTTCCTCAGTCTTGTAGACTGGAAGCTGCTTTATAAGTGGTAGGACAAGGTCCTTCTCGCCATAATACTCATCAGCAGTTGTTCTTGGTTCAGCAGCATGGTCAGATGATAGGTCCTCCAAGGAACTAACTGACTGTTGTTCTCCAAGCTCCTCAGACTTGTATTCTGCCATTCCGACAGCAGGTAACACCAGATCTGATTGACCAGCAACATCATGAGCAGCAGCAGATTCAAGGATAACTTCTCCATTGAGAGATTCTGTCTCCTCTACTCTCTTCTCCAGCACTTCCTCCTTTCCTTCCTCCAGCTTCTGCTCAACCTTCTTCTCCTCTATCTCCACCTCAGCACATACTGTCAGACCAGCCTGTTCCACCTCTGAGCTGTCAGTTGTTACACTTGCCTCAAAGGATAATCCTCCCAGCTCCTCCTTTGAAGCATCAACTTCCGCTTCTGCAGATAATTTCTGTTCCCTTTCCCTGCTCTGTGTCTCAAACTCTGTTGTTTCTTCAACTACTGTTGACTCACTTATTTGAGTAATATCAGACTTGATTTCCACATTTTTAGTTTCTTTGCTTTCAACTTCAAATGATGCTGTGATTACCATGGAGTCATCTTGCTCAGTAAAAGATCTTTCCTCCATGTCTGCACTGAAGCTGATACCCAGCCCCGAATCATCTGCTGTTTGGGTTGACAGCTTGGTGTCATCTCCTGAAACATCCAGCTGAGATGAAGATGTACGTTCTTCCTTTGTTTCTGTCACATCTGCTTCTGTTGCCCCCTGTGTAATCAGTACTGACAGTTGCTCCTCTTTCCTCCTGATTTCTTCTTCAAGTTTATTTTCATCAGTCTTTGACTCACCTATCGAAATTTTGACTTTCTTGGATTTTCTCTCTTCCGATATGTTGACTTCTGATTCAACTGTCAAATCAGATTCTCCTGTTATTTCAGTACTCTGGGTAAAACTTTCCGATTCTATCTTGAAAGAAACACTTTTACCTTTGGTACTTTTCTCTTCTGTAACTTCCTCATACATTTGGGCCATTTTTTCAAGCTTCATCTGTATATCTTTGGTTCCACTGAGGTCCTCCAGCGAGGACAAGCTGCCCTCAGACTCCTCACTGTTTTCAGGTTCCTCTGACACATTCTTGTTCTCATTGATGTTCCCCGTGGATCGATCAGTGATGTGGATCTCTGTTTGTTCCTCAACAGAGATATGTTGTTCATATTCTTCAGTCTCCATCGCTTCAAACTCCTGTTTTCGTTGTTTCATGTGTGTTGACTTATATTCACGGTCATGTTCTAAGTCTTTTTCCGATGCTTCCACAAATGACATTGAGTGAACAGATGGAGTATCATCCAGAAACTTTGATTTTCGAGCTGAAACAAGAAAATCATATTGGTTAACTTGGTCTCTATAATTGTCACAATTTACATATCTAAATTTTGGGTGTACTCAAAAAATCTAATTCTGAAAAATGTGCACAGAAACTCTTTCATTACAGTGTACTGATCAACCATTTCAAAACAATGTATGATTGTTTTTTTTGGTTGTTATTTTTTTAGAACTTTACATTGATAGAACTGTCAAAGAAGAAGTAAGAAAGTGTGTAAAATAAGGATGCCAAAATTTTGTTCTGTAAGTTCAATACAGATACAGATGCATTTCAATATGCTCCACTACACCATTTCTCTGGTGAATGAATTTCAGAATGTTTGGAACAAAAATGGCATAAATTAAGCATAGCGATTTGTATGTATCAATATGTGAGGTCAGAATATTGTGACACCCCTAAAATATTGTGAAACATTCTATAATAATAATAATAATAATAATAATAATAAATTCTTGCAAAGAAATCAAACTTTACAATCTACAACATATTATGTCCATGCTTAACTGATGCGACTGTCTAAATGATGCAATAATTGTGGATATATATCAGTATTAATATCTTAGAATTTTACTGCTGCTTTCAGAAAAGTTTATGATAGGACAATATTGAAACACAGAACTAAGTGTTAGCCTGGAAACAGGAATCATCAGGATATTGTTGAATTAGTTCAACTTCAACATGTAGTACACATCATGCATGATGAAAGGTTAGACAACAGGGACTGAAATAAATAACTCACATTAGCTGAAAATGGAATATAAACTGTTAGTAGTAAGGAAACAATTAAACTGTTTAATGTCAGATAAATAACATAATTGTTTAAGTTTTGTCATACATCCCCAACCCACTAAAGCTTAATTGTGAAAATGTAGAAAATAATCAAAAGATTTTAAAAAACCCACAAAAATCATGGTACCATTGCATAAAGTTATAGAGCAACACCAACACACCATGGAATGTTTTGGAACCGACACATGTTAATTTCCCAACCCCAATATTTAAGTAACCAAAAAATTCTCTGACCTCAAACCTTTGAACTGCTTCCTAATTGCTGCATTTGATAGTTTTTCAGTAAAAACTTAAACAATTTTATCCACTCAAACAAATAAATAATTGTAATGTTCAGAAACAGAACACAATATTTAAACATGAGTATAGGTCCAGTAAAGGACGAGTCAAAGGGTGTGCATTGTTGAATCAGCTTCATGCTAAATATTGTTCTTGACACATTAATAGGGAAAAAACATTCGGGGAAAAATGGTTAAGATACTGGGAAACAGGACTTCAACATCAACATGCCATATTGGCTTACCTTCAACAACTACAACATTCCATTCTTCAAAGTTTTCATCAAAATTTGGTGAAATGGTTTCTAAATCAACAACTTCTGAAAACATACATCCTGCAATTAATTTCTCAAATTAATTTAAGTTTTTGACATAAATTTGGTTAGTAGTATGTGTATCATCCTATTTTAAATGTGGTTACATTTTTACAATCAATGTTTGACACAAGTTAAGATTTGTTTATCAAGATGGCTGCCTCATTAAGACTATGTCCCTAACAACTAAACACAGAGATATGTTCTTGGTGTGAACCTCTGTTGGAAAATCCAAGACGGCTGATAAGCGCCACCTGCCGATAACAAAAATGCGTTTTTCTGGGAATACCTAAGCTTCTCGTCTGGCCACCAGCTGGCTTAACAACACAGGCAGAGTGTTTCCCCCCGGTCAGGTAATGTGCGTCAGAAGTAAGTTACTGCGTGAGTATTACCTGGCCACAAGTATAGCAAAAGACAGAAGCAAAGTGGGGTTTCCTAACTACAAACATTGTTTAGTGTCATCAACATAAATAAACCAAAGGATCTTTTTGACTTTGATGTTTCTGTAATTGTAAATATTTTTGCATCAAGCAAGAATTCTTGCACAGAAAATTTCCTCTCGTTTTTACTTCATCTAAGGGCTTTGTTTATTCACATAAAATACTTCAAAAAACTTTTCTTATATTTCATCTAATTATGAAGCCCTTTGTAAGCACCCTCTCTTTTTTATTAGTTGCCTTTTAGACTTTTTTCAAAACTCTAGGGTCACACATCTAAAGTAATTAAAAACCTATGTGTTCTATCAATCAACTACAAGTCAAAGAAACAGTATCAGACTGGATGGATTGAAACACAGTTGTATTTTAAACATTTAGTTTTATTCCAATGTTTTTTGGTTGGCCAAGTACACTAAGTAAAAAGAAAAAACAACAACTTTTTTTATAGTCCATTTCTTTCTTATTGTTTGTGAATTTTGTGTCTGAAAACTCCTGATGAGTGCATGGGAAAAAATATATGATGCAAAAATATTTCAGACATTTGTTTTCTTCCTCGAAATGTTCCTGAATATCTGCAGTTCAACATATTGTAACATTTTTTGGTGGTCAACACCAATGTGTGCATTTGGTGAAACAGAAACTATTTTCTGGGTTGGCAGAATCTGAATTTTTTTTTATTCTTTTAAGCCTTGTCAACCTTTCTAGGCCTGTGACTGCAAAAGAATCTGTTATTGAAGTTTTACACATTTAGTCTCGTTCACTGAAAACACACAAAAAACACAATCTACTATTATTCGTTTCTTGAGAAATCTGAAACAAGTCACAGACAAATGGATGGACACATTCGTAAACAGAAAACTATCTTTGATATCTTCAGGATGAATTTCATCCTGTTGAAAGAAAGAATTTAGAAAAACAGGAACAAATAAATCCATTCTTACTCCTGACAAACAGGTAGGCAGCAGTTGACGCCATCCCCTCCGAATTCTGGGCACGGCATCGGTAACATCCTTCATCTTGTCGTGACACCTTCTCTATCAACATAGAGATGACTCCCTCACGGGTATGTGCGAAGTTGAAGCGGGAATTCTGGGTAATATCAACCCCATCTTTGTACCACTTGATGTCCGGACGAGGGTAGCCGATGACACGACACTCGAACCGCTTCGTGCCACCGAGCTGAATCTCGGTCTTCTCCGGCATGGCAGCAACTTACGAGACAGCAGCAATGGGTCAGAGGCTGAAAACAAAGTTAAATATACAGTAAAACAAATATGAGTGTGTAGTGCAGGTGATGTTTATCTGGTTGATCCTGCCAGTAATTATATACTTGTCTCAAAGATTAAGCCATGCATGTCTAAGTACAAACTTAACTTTATAACATTGTTAATGTACAAGAGGCCCATAGGGCCTGCATCGCTCACCTGGATATTTACGCAATGATGACAGAATATACATTTGCATTGTACATGTATATAATATTGCAAATATTTTGTAATTTTGACTCTGTCAGCATTTAAAAGGGGTGGATGGCAAATCTGACGGCATGAACGTGTACTTCTCTAGATACAAATGTAGCATAAAGATCTGAACAGTTTCCATGTTATGATCCAGGATCTAAGTTTCCAGGGGCGAATCCTAACTTCATAACAAACAAATGTATACAATGTATCTGTTTATTATAGGGTGGGGATAATATCGGCTTGCATGTTATAGTCAAGGTTCTAACTCCTTTGGGAGTGCCAGACAGATGAACAGAAGAGCCAGTCCTGGTAGCATATGAGTATTTGATGGGGGGGGGAGATGGGGGGGGAGAGATGGGGGAGATGGGGGGGGGGGGGGTGTGTGAGTGGTTGGTCAGCCCCACCATGTGTACAATTTTGAATCCTCACTAATGGAGAATGCTTCCTACCAAATATGGTTGATATCTATCTCTTAGTTCCAGAGAAGAAGTCATTTAAAGCAATATAGCCAAATGACCCCTATTTGGCCCCACCCCTCAGCCCCTTATGGGGGTCAGCCCCTCCATTTGTACAATTTTGAATCCTCACTAATGGAGAATGCTTCCTACCAAATATGGTTGATATCTATTTCTTAGTTCCAGAGAAGAAGTCGCTTAAAGCAATATAGCCAAATTACCCCTATTTGGCCCTGCCCTCTGTCCCCTGGGGGGGTCAGCACTACCATTTGTACAATTTCAGTCAAATTTCATTAATTTTCAATTAGTGGTACAGAAGTTGTTTGAAAAAATTGTTGATGTACGGATGACAGACTACGGACAGACGGACGACAGACACCACGGTATGGCATCAGCTCACCTTGGTCCTCCAGACCCGGTGAGCTAATAAATGGGATTTGAAACCTGGCAATACTTTTCGTTAGGAATATCTTTTTTCACTTAATCCCAAACTTGAAAATGAGGAATTTTGGCATGGCGACATGAGTATCACAATGACTATGTTTTTCTCTGCAATCTGCTGAGTAGGTGGATTCAGTTGTATTGAAAGCATGACATCATCCATTGTATCATGATGCCATGTCTGTAATGACTGTTTCACAGCTTTGTGAGTTCAAATAGAAAAAATGTGCTATGGAACATTGCGGCTAACAGGTATTTCCAATGTTAATAAAATTATGGGTTTTGGTAAATGCATATGTAACGCATGACGCATGGAAATATATAACATTTGAAACCTCCGGTGTTTACCTCCTGATTTGCAAAATGTCTCTAAATGAAACTATTCTTTATGCACCCTGCCACAATATTCACCACTACCTAATGAGGGTCCAGGGCCCCATTCAACATGGAGATGTTAGTGCTACGACTAGCATTGGACCTGTGGAGTGTTTAATCTTTGCCAGAGTGTTTTGACAGAATATCATGTTCATAGCTTCATTCATTATGCCTTAATTCTTTCTCCATGGAATTGGATAATTGGAGTAATTGAGAAGTAACTTTCACTTTGGGCGTGTTCATTGAGCATGAACTTCATAGAGTGAGGGCCAAACATTGTATGAATGTCGTCACAAGCTCCTAAGTTTGGCCCTCACTCTATGAAGGTTCATACCCCAATGAACTCACACAAAGTGAAAGTCAATTCTTATAATTTTTATATTACTGTTTTTACCTCGAAGGATGTAGTTCTATACAGAATTTTATTTTGTATGTGTAACTTCATGTTTACACTGACAGCCATACAAGGACATGAGGGTATGTATGCTCACATTGTTCTACAGTGATATCTTTTGTCGTTTGTTTACAGCAAATATAGTCAAATAATACCATCATTAGAGACAGGTCTGTTATGATCTACCTCAGTCAGTCAGTCAGTCACAGTGATAGCTCGTCATAATACAAGTACATCCAGTACATCCAAGACGTCAAAATGGCCGAGACGGTAAATGTGATGCAAGAGATTTCCGAAGTTGTTAATAAAACTGTGGCGATCATTGATCAACTGGCCAATCATTGAAAGGTAATTATAAAGATGTGTCAAACAGAAACTATGGTAAATTCATAGATTGCTGTAGACTGTCACTGTAAGTCCGGTCAATTCTACAATTGTTTGAATGTGCATTTCCTTGTTTTGTTCACTAGGATGGGTCATAGTCAAACTGTGTCTTTCATACACTTATGAACGTCAGTATCGCAGTTATATGATAGGTCTCTTGTCCAATGGAACAGATGTACATCTTGTAAATTTCAGTTTAATATATTATAAGTAGTTACACTTATCTCAATTGAACATCCAAGCAAGAGAATGGTGAAAACATTACAAGAAGCCTGGCCATTGGAACTCTGGAATTCAAACCCATAAACATAGTGACATGCAGTGCCTTGAATGACTGGGACAAAACATAAACCTTATGAAGTGGAATGGTACAATGGTACAAATGTTCATTCTTTCTGGGAAATAAATGTAGATTACTTTTGAAGTCAGCATCATCATATTGGGTTTGAATCTGTAGATTCAATTAGTTCCATATATAAACAAAAAATAATTACATATCTTGTGAACAAACAACAAATCTGTAAGTCACTTCCTGAGACCTCTACAGTAAGGTCAAGGTCATCCTATCAGTCAGGGATCTGCAGACTTCACAAAGTAAAAAAAGATAAACATTTTTCTTCCAATAACAACTGACTCAGTTGACAATGAAAGATGATTAATTAATTCTCTCTGCTTCGTACTTTCCCAATTTTATGACATAGACCTGTGTGGTCCCTGCTTTGGGCAATGACCCTCCACATCATTCATTGTCTATTTATGCACAACTGTCACGACAGTATCTCATAGGCCTTAATGTATCGGACATCACAATATCTCAAAATGATGTTCATTACCGGTTCAGGTTACACCATCTTCCCGAGGCATGAGAGTTAACTGACTATAAAAGTCCAGTTTCCACCCTTGCCGAACTAGGCTGGTATTATGGAGTTACATTTTGGCTGGACTAACAAGTCTATGCATAGTCCAATCAAAATTGCGCTTCGAAATCGAAATCCAGTTCGTAAATTGTCATGCAGATTTCAGTCAGTTGCAGGGTTTGCAAAGCATGTGCAGCGCTAATTCGTTGTCAACAGATATTTTCTAAATCTTTGCATGTTTTTAATCAAGGTGCTCACATGATTTGATGCACTTCGCAATGTAAGACTCGTGTTATAACAAGTTATTGATCCTGATTATCGATCAGATCGTCTTGACTGGGCGCCGCCGTTTTGTTTGAAGCAAATGCAAGTGATTCGAGAGGTGGAATCTGATTGGTCTAAAGGAGAGGCATAGAAGGGACATAACTCGTAACAGCCACTGGTGGCGCTACGACAGAGCCCAGGAATTCAAGCCTAGTTCGGCAAGGGTGGAAACTGGACTTTTTAAGTCAGTTAACTCTCTTGCCTAGGAAGATGGGTTACACTTATTAACTTATTGCACAAACACTGAAGCACCTGTAAAATATCTTAAGACCAATATTTCAGTTCAAATTTGATATTTTCCCTTTATGGGCGTACTTTTGGTGTAAAACTAGACATATAACTGACATTGATCTGACTGAATCCACACCAAAAGGATGAGATGGTAACATGACTCTTAACCTTGGCAGCTTGGGTTGTATACTCCCCAGGGAGCTGAGAATGAAATTTGAGTACATGCTGATCCATGGACCAGGGTAATAAAGTAGCACTTTTAGTATGCTTTAGGGTGTAGATTTGGTGCTTCATTAATACACGGTATTATTACACATCATGGCACCCAGCCATTAACATTATATGACCTTTTCAGAAGGTCTCTCATCATAGGCACTGGTGGCTGTTTTTCATGGAAGATATGTGTGTACCAAACACTAACTTCCCTCAAAACAAGTCAGTTTGGGTGTGAACCCGTCTATGTGCTTATCCATTATTTATGACATTCCCTGAGATGTAAAAATTGCGAAAGTATAGTTTGACCTCATCCATATGATGTTTCAGTAACATGACTGTTCACAGTTGGTTATGTCATTTCTTAAAAAAAGGTAAATATTTTCATGGCCTTCTGTTATGTTCTTAATATGATAAATGATGAATTTAGAATCATCTAACAAGGCTTAAATAAACGATCATAATGAAGAGATTTCTTGGATAAGCTTTTCCTAAAGACAATTAAGGCATTTATCTGAATACATGACACTTTTTATGAATAGCAGTTTCTTATTGTCTATGTCACAACGCTTCAGAGCTACTTCTTGCTCCTTCATCAGGTGAATAATAAAGAAGTTGCTATCAATAAAAAGTGTCATGCATTCATGTTCTTCCAACTTCTATATGCCCATCAAAGACCTCAAGTCATTTATCTGCCAATGAGCCAGTGTGTCAGGCCACTGTGATTTAACTACCTCAGCACACCCTTCTGTTTATCTATCATACATTCCACAAAAAACTCTATGTGACAAGGGTGAGTGAGTGTGTTTGGTCTTATGCCACAGTATTTCAGTTATATCACAGCATGTCAGCAGGATGTTGGAGGAAAGTGTGAAGAAATGGAGGTCTAAGATATTTGTGGGTGACATGCTGACAAACCCAGAAACAATCAGTGTGAATCAAGTATTCAAACCCACAATTACAGACTATCTGCTCAGGTGAGGGTTGCAACCCTTCACAGTGAACTGCAGCGCCTTAGACAACTGTGTCACAAGTGCCCACTATGCGACAAGAAAGCTGAACCATCAGCAGTATTCCAGTCAAAGGTTAATAGCTTTTTGGCA